GGGTTTTCGTGACTTCAGGGACGATAGCATGCATGATAAAACCTGTCTTTATCTGGTACGAAAAATCATGCTCTCGCTGTTGAGTTGTGTGCCCTCTTCCTTGCCTTCGGAATGTGGTTGCAGAACTGAAGGCCAAGCTTACGAGGCCTCTCCCCGAGTTCTCCTGCGCGAGTGTGCGTTCGAGTGTTTTCCTTGTCCGTCTTCAACCAACTGCCACCACAAGGCATAGTCTATCTCTCGCGCGGCTCGTGCTTGCTGCTGCTGCTGCTGCCGCGGGCTGCTGCTGCTGCTGCTGCCGCTTTTTCATTTCGTTTCGCATGCATGCATCCCAACAAACCGTACGTGCGTGTGTGCTTCTTGTCTCCAAAGGATTTCCCACCCAACCAAGTGGCATTGGAGGCGGTGCCACATGCCTTGCGCCAGTGTGCTGCATCGGCGGCGGGGTAGCGTGACATGTAGAACTGCTGTGCATGCGATGTATGTCTACTGCTGCTGCTGTATCCATGTATGCCATCATCATGTGATAATCGTGTTTGGGGTAAAGAAATACGGCGCCCTCTCCTCTCTCTCCTCCGGTTTCCAACAGCACCTACAACAGCAGTACAGCAGTGTAGTTATCGGTCACCCATCACAGTCTTCACGTGAGGGTTACGCTGCTGTTGGGCACTAAACCTTTGTGGCACCACGGGGTGCGTGCGGTTGACCTGTGTGGGAACCTGTTGGTGCGCAAACGTGCAAACGTTCAAGTGTGTGTGTCGTGTGTGTCTCATGACTCATCGGTCTATTCGATCCCGGCAGAACAAAAAAAACCGCGGAAGATCCAGAAAGAACCCAGTCACGAAAGGGTTAAAGCGGGGAGTGCCCAAAACGCGAGCGTCGTTCAAGCGGGGTTGACAATGTAATACAAATACATCGTAGAAAATACACCAACGCGCGACGGTCCGATAAGCAAACCCATCAGCCCTGCTTCAGGCCTTAAACGCCCCCTCGCCCGCTTGCGAGCTATGAGGCATGACCTCTCATCAGAACTGCAAAATGTTGGGCAATATATATGCGGCCAGGGGGGGTGCTTATCTTCCATATGACATGATTCCTCCGCCGGACCATCTCACCGTCACCTCCTTCGAAGCTTTGCTGTGGCCTGCTGCGGCTTGCCGTCAGCTGTTGCAGAAGTTCCGGCTGTGCCAGGAACAGGCCCGTGACGGCCAGCAGCACAGTCAACGATAAAGCCGCCAAGGTTCTCCTCCTAGGCAACAGTCTGCCCATAGTGGGGTTTGCCATACCACCACCGCCGCCTGGAAACACCGAAAGCTGATGAGCTTGACAACGACAACAGGTTCTCGAACGCTCTCCCCTGGCTATCCAATGGCAGCAGCAGCACTATTATCATGCAGGGGACGCGAAACTCAGCCCCCGCCAGAAGCACAGCAGCATGAGAAGGGGGGAGGGGGGTTCTGCTTTGAAAGCTCACGGCCGGCGGTGCTGTTGGTGAGACGACGGGCCCGCTGCCTGTTTGGTGTGCGGTGTCCCCTGAATGAGGCAGGGGCAGTGGAGCTTTCGGCCGAGAGCAGCAGCAGCAGCAGCAGCAGCAGCAGCAGCAGGGAAGAAAGATCCGTAGTAGCAAGATTGCTCGGTGACCCTATGGTGTGCGAGAAAGAGAGATCCAGTCGTCTCCAAACTCAAACTGCCCCTCCACGCTGCAGCAGTGACGGATTGGCTATTGTAGGCGAGGGGTTGAGGGTGTCTGCTGTCGCGCTGTTTTATTTCGCAGTCAAAGAAGGTTCCGCTGGCTGTTCCCGGCTTTCTTGGGTAGGGGAACAGCTCTCACAAAAATCAAATAATTCGCGGGGAGCGCGAAAAAAGTATAAGGAGGCGTGGCTATGTCTTCGCCGACTCCGCTCCGCCTGTAAGAAGAAACAAAAGATACACACACAGAAGTTGCAGAAGACTACCCATTCGAGATACAACAGTAGTACCCACAGTCGAACGGTATGTGGTGGAGTCTATTCATTAACGCACGTGGTTGTACGGGTATGTAGATACTAGTGCACAGGATCGTCATGTACTGTACCATGCTGCTGTACGTCGGATGTTGTTGTTGTTGGTGTTGTTGTTTTTCTTCACATCAAACTCGTGTCAGTTGCTAATCCCAAAATCTAGCAAAGACTCGGTCCGTGGTCACAAAAATGCTATTTAGAGCCATCAGCAGGATGGAGCTCAGCCAATAGCGCTGTGGCCCGATATTTGTTGTCATCACATCGATCGTCACTTACTGCTGTACTGTCGACCATACTTTTTGGTTCCTGTGGCCTCTCCTTTTTTTATCTTCCTTTCACCCCTTTTGACCGGGGTCGATCTTGTGTCGCTTAGTTTTATTTCTCGTTTTGGTAAACAAATTGCTTCTTACGGATTTTTCTGGGGTCAATTCTAAGGTACTGAGCGGAGACCGGAACGGTTTTCTAATGTGAAGACAACAAGAACAACAACAACAACAACAACATTTGTGAAGCCCTCCTTCCTACCTGGTGTATATAGCGTTAGGCTAGAACACCCATAGATCGCTCGGCGAAACACTCGTCAGATAAACTTGTGCGCCAAAAGTTTTCAGTCGCAAAAATAGATCAGGTATTGTGTGGAGACAAAGATAGGTACACTCTCGATTGAATGTTGAGGACGATTCCCTCTTTTCACGATTGTATGCTTCTGTTGTTCCTCATGTGCGATTCAGAGCATGCGCCGCCACCAGAACGAACTAACGCACGAACGAACGCCCTACAGACCAGCTCCTTTCCAGCTGCTGTCGTGTCACACAGCGTACTTCTAATTTAGGAGTGCTGCACCCGGCAGTGTTCCGCCTTGCGTGTTCACAGGGCTACCCCCAAGCCACGTTGCAATAATCATACAAAACCATTTAACAACAAAAAAAACGGCTTCCACGTTAGAGACGACAAGCCGTGCCGAGGTTCCACATCAGACCACCTCCGTTGCCACACCACGTACGACCTTTTCTTGGGAAGTGAGTATCCCGTCCAAAACGACCTGACGGTGCCAACACACAGGCACCACGTTACTGTAGTGGCAGTTGCTACGACACCGGGATACACACTCATGACTACCGCTGGGCTGTGTCTCCTCCCCAATCTTCCTCGCGAAAAAAGAACCCCGGCTTACTGATTACGGGCTCCTTTGTCTTGTACCTTGGCATTGTTGCCCCGGCCTACTATTTAGTACGCACGGGTGTCCTACACAAAAGGTGTCTGCGATAGACACTGTTGATGTCGTTCACGGTCAGAAGGCTACCCCTGGCAGTAGTACAGCTGACAAACAATCCCCCCGATGCGCGGTGGCAAAGGCAAGGAAGAGCAACTACACTACTAGGAACGGCAGCACCCAATGTTACTCTTCCCGAGGTCCGAAGTGGTCTCTGCGGAACACCATCGACACCGCATACCAATTCGCCCGAGAGAATCGCTCGAATGATGTTGATTCCGTGCACATACGCCCCTGTCTCTCTACCTTTCCTCGTCATTGCTTCTTCTCAACAAGGAAGCCATTACTCCTTTTCACCAAGGAACGGATGATGGCAACATCACTTTCAACATTCCTAGTCACGCTGCTACTCCCGCCCCCGTGCCCTATCGAGGAAAACGGGGAGCACCAACAACGACGGCAAACTTTTCTTTCGGGCGCAAACCGGCCGAAACGCCTACGTTTCCCTTGTATTTGGACTTGGAAGACCGGGTTCTGGGTGGTGGCGGCTTCGCGCTCCCTCTGCTTACTCCAACTCTGCGCCTCGTTGTTTCCGCCCAATGCCCCATTCTTCGTCGAAACCACCCGGGGGGCTATTCAAACGACGAGGGTCCTCCCCATTACGCGTGAACAATGCTGGCGAAAATTCCTTACATTCACAAAAAAGAAAACAGACACGTTGACATTTCCAGGTGAGGGGAAAAAGCCTTCCTCTACAGAATGAGGGAATAAAAATCCCCCTGAAGGAATGACCCTTCCGTGACCGCACCCAGTTTGGGTCCTACACTGAGAGCCACGGCGCCGTCGATTCCAGAGCGACAAACAATCCCAATCGTACGACAATCTCGTCGTATGACCAACGGACACTCGTGTACTCTCGTGCGTATAAACAGCAAGGAAGAGCCCCTCGACGGTTTCGAAGATTTTTCTTAAGAGTTTTCTTCGGAATTTCTTACGAAAACTCGTACCCGCGGGGTATCAAAATGGGTTCACGCCCACGGGAACGAACGCGCTCCTAGGGGGTATGATGAAAAGCAAACAGGCACGCAATTCGCCCATTCACTGGATTTGGCTCGACGCTGGCACCACGAAAGACACAATTCGCCATTGCCACCGGATACCACATGACGCTGGTACAAAAATAGGTAACACCAAAAAAGGACAAGAACAAGACAATAAAAAACATTGCACCCCCGCGCGCTCCTGCGCACACAACACGCGCCCGCACGTACAACTAACTTACCGTCGCCCACCCCACGGAAACAATTTCACAAGAAGCCATATCCCACTTTTTCCGTAATGACAAACGCAGTATCCTCCCACCCCCCTATCCCCCTAACACCCGGGGTACAATTGTAGCCTCAAAGGAGTTTCTGTCGAAATAGAATCGTTTATCATTTTTGATTATGTGGTCAGCAGCGCTTCGTCAATCACCCGAGGGGCAGGCAGGAGGTTCCCCGCAAAAGGCCAAATACGCACGGGGGCGAATACTTTAGCTTTCCATTCCCAACCAGCCCCCTACCCTACCCTCGCAAACAACGAGGCGAATTATTTAGTACGCCTCCCTACAGCACCTCTCTCGTTGCGGCCGAATGCGTCGTGCGCATACACGGGCGACAAAAGCCAGGAGTTTGAGATTCATATCGATCCAATCTGACGGCAACGAGCACATCATGCCTCAACCCTACCCCACCGATCATCTCCATCGACACGTCACGGAGCCCCCAGGTCGACAACCTTCTTCGTCGGGTGGGGGGCACGCAGATAAAACGCACATTGTGCGCTCCACCAACGATAGCGTCATGCGGAGCCGTCGCTCATGCCCATCGTCGTCGCTGTCGTTGTGCACACGACCTCCTCGATTTTATCCAGCTTCTGCTGGAGCCGCGCGACCACGAGCTCGAACGACAAGTCCCAGCTGTCTCTGTCTCTGGCCCTTTCTTTCGCCCTTTCCGCCTCGATTGCCTTTTTCGCTTCCGCCGCCGCCTCCGCTGCCGCGGCCTCCAGCTCCGCCGCCTGCTCCGCGGTACCCGCCTTAAGAAACTGATTCCCGTCGTACTTCGCGCGATGCGGACCGTACCTAGGATCTTTCGGGTGATAGTTCATTGCGCCATTTGGAAGCCGTCCCTTTGGAAAAGGAGTTGCCCCGATTGCAGGCATGGAGGGGCAGAGCGAGCGGCGGGTTCGAGGAAACGGGAGGATACACGAAGGTGCGGAGATGTTGTCAGACATAGGCAGAGGTATGAGAGAGGGCTTACATACGAGGATGTTGTCCGACTCAAGGGGGGTACAGCGGTTGGGCGCGGGGAGGGGGTGTCGTCGTTGCATCCTTCCTGTACGTTCCACCCGTGTTGCAAGTCCTCGAAATAAGCGTTCTTTCTTTCTTTCGATACGGCGAGGCATCGATCGATCACGCGGAGCCCTCACGGCGGCCGAATTTCTACGAGACAGACCGTCATTCGTCAACAATTCTTGCTGTAGTGGCAGTCCGAAACGTGGCCAACCCTCTAAAGCAACCATAGGCGTGTCTCTACAGTGTGGTACCATACCAAAATTGAACGGAATCGTCTCGTTGAGGTGAGTAGAGCGCCGAAGGCGGCCAAATTTTGGAGAATATTGCCGGAGTAACCCAAACAAAATTGGAGGTAGACATGCCGGGCGTGTTTGTTCGATGTTGGCGATAAAGTGTGTCACTGGAACGACCCTTGCAGTGGCGATAAAAAAAAATGTGACAGCCCCTCAATGCTACATATGCCTACGTAATCCACTCTGGCGAAGTCTCGAGCGAGTTAATCAATTCCTTCGGAGGTGTATAGCAGCGTGAAGTTCGGAGCTGACAGCCACGAAACAAGCCTGAAGCAGCAGCTCTTCCACTATTGATCACAGGGCATTTGCCAGGTTTAGAGCGAAACCAGGGCAAGCCAAACGTCTGCGCGTGAGGAACATACTGTGACAAGCTTGGGGTATCCTCCTGGTTTCGTGGCATGTAGCCATTTGTGTGGGAAGCCTCAGCGGTGACAAACGTGTGTAACAGATGGTGTCACAGGGCAACCCATAACGGGGGCTGACGCGGGGTACCATCTAGTTTCGCGGAGCCACTTTGTCACATTATTTTTACTTCTTGTGGGACCTGCGAATATGGGTGTTCGAAGAACATATTCAACGCACCCCCTGGGTAGAGCAATGGTCTATTCACTATCGCATGCAAACATCATAGTATGCCCCACCTGGGTAGGGCGTGGCAAGCAGGCGCTTCACCATGTTTGGCAAGATTCACACATGGAACACGCGGGTGAGTGAGCTTCATAAAAGCGCGGGCAGGGGACAACCACAACAGCGCGCGAGATTGTACCAGGAGGGTACGTGCGTTTGAGGGTTGGGTATGTGAAGTGTACAAACGTGGAGGTGTCTTGCGGAAAGCTCTTCCGGGGGCATTTTCATTTGGTGGTACTTGTGACGATTCGTGCATTTGGCCACGGTGGATGAATACTCGGGCGCTGTGTACACACATGGAAAACACCAAAAATGTTGAGGTCGTTGTGCAACAAGGAAACAAGAAAACAACGCATCAATTCAACCCTTCTCTATATTACCATGGTTGTACATGGTACCTGGATGATATTTTCACCAAATCTGCCGACGCTGCTGCTACTGCTGCTGCTATTGTCGTTGCTTCACTGCTGCTGCCACTGCGCCATCGACAAACAAACTGATGCACGAAAAGAGTCAGCCAAACGACAGGCTCAAGAAGCAAAAACATAAAAACAACAACAACGGCACACGCGCGAGAGATGAAAAAATAAGACGAGACTGGGGGAGGAAAACATCAACAACAACAACAACAACAACAACAACCTGTCTCCGACAAAAACCCTCACTACCAAACCCACCTGTTGGTTTGTCCACTCCAACGCCGGCTTGGACGGCTTCGACCCCGGCCGCGGCGAAGCCGACCCCGGCTTGACGTTCTCGAGCATCTTCTCCTCGAGGTGCTGCGCCGTGTCGTCATTGGGCGCGACAAAGCGCGCCACGCGGTGCGCCTGCTCCGGGTCGGACATGCTCTCGTACCGGAAGCAGGTGGCGAAGCCCGGGCCCAGCTCCTGGAAGGTGGACTCTACCACGGCCGCGTTGTTGATGAGAGCTCGGGATTCCCTCATGAACCTGGTTGCCGGTTGTCGAAAAAAAAAAGCGCACGCGTGTTACCATCGATGGAGCTGGCCAATGAAACCACGCCAGCCTTGTTGCCGTTACTGCTGTCGCGCAGAACGCGCACGCGCGCGTGGATGAGCATCGACCGTGCTAGCCAGTTGACCAATGTAAAGACGCCAGTCTTGTTGTTGCCGTTCCCGTTGTCGAGCAAAACGCACACCCGCGTGTGTGCATTTGTTTGGATGAGCATCGACCGTGCTGGCCAATGAAAAATACGCCAGTCGTAATTGTAGAGGGAAAAAAAACGTGAACACGGTTTCCAAACAAGGGTGTGTGTGTGCGTGTGATGGCATTGGCCAAAACGCTCGAGACCGGGGAAAATATGACGCGAGACAGAGAGGGACACGATAGCGCCTCCTGCCTTTGAGGGCTTAAGACGCCGTTATCTGGGGTGAGGAGCGAAGAAAGCCAAAGCCATCGAATACTTGGCACACCCGGACACGGCAGCACGCGTGCGGTGGGTGTTGACCAACACAACCCGGTCTTGGTGGGCGTCCATGCTATGCGACAAGCCGGGGCATGGACATGGAAGAATGATATCCCATCACAAACTCCAGCTTCGGCTGTTGGTTGATTAGGTCTTGCCAGGGCCGCCACCCTGTGGAAGCAGCGGGTACGTCTCCGGCAGTGGCGCATAGTGACGATGTACGCCGCCGCGAAAGGGTGTCGTGGACAGCACCCTTCCGCATCAAGCTCGCTAGACTCGTTTGTGGCTATAATTCGGGAGACCTCGCATTTACAACTCGCATTTCCGCCCGGTGTGAACGGACACCTGATTTTTCATTGGTCAGTCACTGGTCGTTCGTCAGCCACATATGTAGCGCGGTCGATGCTGAGAAGAAACACAACACAGAAGGTACTTCCGGAGAGGTTGGCTTCTCCCTGCTGCCGACACCGTTGTAAACGCACTTTTGAACAACCTAACTAGCCCGGTCGATGAGGAAACATCCACAGAACTGCTGCGAGCGAGGTTCGCGCGTTTCGATACCTCAAGACCGAGGCATGGACACAAACCGGGCTAGTTAGCGCCGTCGATGCTACCAAAACTAAACAGACACAAACGCACACACATATATATGTCGTTTTTCCACTCCAAGGCCTGCAAGCCTTTTCATTGGCCAGCAGCAAGCTTGGCGCAGTCGATGCCCATCAAACACACGCACAAGAAAAAAATAACACTTACGTCCCCCCATAGTGTTTGTGTTGCGTGTCCGAGATGATGATGCTCCTGGCCGATCGGGCGAGGTACACGAATCGGACGTCGACGCCGGCTCTCTCGGCCTCCTCCGCCAGCAGCCGGAAGTCCACGTACTGGAGGGCTTTGTCTTTGCCGTTGAAGTTCGGGAACGACATCATCCCGGACTGCCACGCGAAACAGTGAAAACGCGGCACCGCAACCAAGCGTTTAAGAGGCATATCGTCTGTATCACCGTTGTCGTCATCGACGTCATCGTCCTTGTTGTTGCTGTTGTTGTTGTTGTTTCAATGTCACGGCGGTTGGCAGACAGGGGAGGGAGGGCAGGTATCGCCTTTTCGTGATGACGGAGACGGGCAAAAAGGATTCATAAGGACCACTAAGCAGCCAGTCGTTTCGCCGCTCTTCAGCTTACAACCCCCCCCCCCCCCCCCC